CAAGGCAGCGGTGTTTGGTGGGAAATGCAAATGCATTACCATTTCTACGGAACAAGTCGCCACATGTTCCAACCCCCAACCTGGAGGGCCAGGAGACTGTGTTCGTCAGGCCTCTAACCATTGGCTGGTATGAAAGACTATGTGACTGTCGCAAAGACACTCCGCAGTATAGCTCAATGGGTCGCCGAGTTACACAAACCGCCACACCACGGTAAGGTCCAGTCTCCTCATGATGGGAGTAATATATAAATGATTGTACCCTTTCGGTGACTAGCTGCCATGCCAGCAGAAGGAAGCACGAGGGCCGGGATATTGCTAGGTTGCCCAAGCCTAGACAGGGGAAGTCGGGAGGCAGAGGTCGGGTCGAACCCTGAACCCTCTGGTCAATGAATTCACGCTCTAACCACTGAACCATCTCGCTCCGCCAGGAAAATATACTGCGATACGATAAATATCATAAGAATAGACAAAGGCGACGGACTTTGTACACCACATTCAGTTGAAGAAGAACACGATAGACGACAGGCTCATCTGGATTCACTTCAGATCCCGATAACAGCAAATTAATGCGTAAATGAAAGTGTTTTGCCACCTGTGTTGTTCTATTGTTCAGGTGCCAGCTATGGAATGTAGGTTATTGTCAATTGCATCCCTGTCTAGACTTGACCACTGACTGACTTCCTCGAAATGTCACCATGGTTGAGAAATCAGAAGTTGTGACGAGTCAGTCGGTAGGCTGGTGTCGGGGGGATGGGGACACCCAAGTTACGTAGCCAGGAGCTCACATCAGTGATTGTCACGTGGTAGAATGGTGTGACATTGTCGCCAGATCCTAGTTGACTGACATGTGAGTTGAAACTCCAAATGGTGGAACGATAATTTAGTCACAAAAGTACTTCAGTACAGTTAGAATAGGAGGCTAATAGGTAATCTTTCAAGAAAAACAAGTGAACGTACTTTTAACGATGGGAGTGGAATGCCAGAAGAGAGCAGCCAGGCGACCATGAAAACACCGACAGCCGTTTGAAGATGCCAACCGATGCTACGAAAATTTAAAAAAAAACATGCAGCAAGTAACTTCGTGTGCTCACGGAGATTAAGGTTCGACAACAACCGGGGATTAGTGCATGAACAACGATCTAACCAACGCACCGGAGACCGACAAATCTTGCAATCAGATATAGTACATCCATGTGGAAAAGGTTTCAGTTAAACGCCCTCAGTCAAAGCGTCGTCGTGGCCTAGAAACAGAGGTGAAATGATTCCCGTCCGGGCTATGTAATATGGGAACAACAATACTGACAAATCGAGAATGAGAGACGTCAAGATGAACCACGTATTTAGATTTCAGTGAAGTATCTTAGTTGATGAGCGGTCGGATAGTTGGTTGAGGGTTAGAGTTTACATTATCAAACACGGAATACCCAGGTGTGCTGAGTAAAAGCGCAGTACGGCAGTTTCTTCGCATCGTCCTTCTGTATAACAGATGCTGTTACGATTGCAAGTAGTTGATGATCATCAGTACCCACCAGGCTAATGAGATCTGGAGTAAAAAAACTCACTATGGTAACTGCCAACTTACAGGGTACAACACCAAAAAACGAAGTATTCAAAAGGAAAGGACAAATAGACAGAATGAACCTGACCAGAGGAGACTGCAACATCCGGCAGTGCCCACGATTACGAAAACGTTGGCAGTGTTGAAGCATTGGAAGATCGGGTGCGTTTACCGGTAATTGACTAGATGGCTGTTAATCTGTTTGCTGAGCTTTTCAACTGACTTGCAAACGTTTCGTCACCATAGAGGAGACATCATTAGATCGCAACTGGGTGAGTTCCTGTAAACCTCACAAACGAAAGATTCAGCTGGGTTCCAGGTGAGTCTCTCGAAAAACCAAATTAGTTCGCAAATGAGTGTATATTCGCTAATTTCGAGCAATTTGTTTTCAAGTGGAACGTAAGTTTGACGGAAACCCGGGGACTGCGCCTACCTGATGAACCTCAAAAAGGGCGAAACCGGTCGTGGGCTGTCGACGGATTTTCAGCAACCTTATGAGTAGTACATTACAAGTATATACTTGAGTGAGTTCCTCTTTTCAGACATGTGTCTTTAGAGTTTGCAAGAAGTAAATTTGAGTTCTAACATGATTGGCTGTTCACAACTCATCTCACTCGGAAGTTCATCGGTCCAATCGCGATCTGTGTTGCATCGTGGTCTGTATTTCTTGCGTTCGACTGGTCTTTGTTCCTATTCGGGGTGTGGCCAACAGGAGCAGAGTAATGGATCGATTGGTCGCAAGATACGCAACACGGTCACAACACAAATGGGGCATGAATTGTTCAGACTCGGAGGAAGATGAGTTCAGAACAGCCAATCACGTTGAAGAACTGTTTACGCAACCGCGGGCCAATGATGCCTCCCCGAATGGTGACGGAACGTTCGATCGCCCGCTGATTCAAGTGCCACTGCGAATACGGTGTTTATCCGAATAGGGTTTAGGTGAAACATTTGTGCAACATATTCAGTTGTGGATGATGGGAATACCCCGTGACAGTGCAACTTATGTGCATGCAATCAAGCTTGGAATCTGTGTACCACCCCGGCATGTGGAGAGATTCCCGTGGAAAATACAGAAAAGAAACTGGTTAGCATTCGATCACCGCATGACTTACAATTCCTCCTTGCGAAATATCAACCACACCACCATCAGTGCAATGCCTACGGGCGAGACCGCCAGTTTAGTGACGGACACATTGAATCCCACGTGAAATCGACAGAGACGAAAGTTGACGGCAAACCTGTAGAGCAAAAAAAAGACAAGCACGGCGACAGAATGAGGATCTGATCTAGCCGGGAAAAGCCATTTTGGCGAGAATTGAAAAGAACTGAAAACTCGTTCCAATTTGTACGTGTGACGTGTTGACGTCATAAAACGAAACCACACCCGAATAGAAATTGGCATTCAATACCCACTGAATTGTCTGTTGTGAATGGAGTAGGGAACGGTAACAAATGCTCAGATGAGTATACCAGAAATCGGAGTACATACCTCTTTTTAGCCGCCGGGAAGAAGTAGGTGATCCAGAATGCAAGCACATTGGTGACTGCCAAAATCCCGCAGCAAAAGAAAAGCGAGATGGCGAAGTAGACTGCAAAGTAAACGGAAGGGGGGGGGGCGGATGAATTTAGGGTGTCTATAACCCGAACTACAATGAAAACGGCGATTACGGAGACTAGTGTAGGCACATCCGGATTATAAAAGTCTTGCGAACGAAAACTGACCTTTCATTGGCAAACAGCACCTTTGGCGTCTTGATTGATGAAACATGCGTGTAACACTCAAAGACGGGTATTAGTGGACGAAATGGCTCAAGTGGTTAGAGAACCGCGAGTTTACTAAGCGGAAGGTTCGTGGTTCGAATCCGACCCGCTCTGCCTCCCGACTTCCCCTGTCTAGGCTTGGGCAACCTGGCAGTATCCCAGCCCTCGTGCCACCTTCGTGTGGCATGGCAGCTAGGCACCGAAAGGGCACCATAGCTGAACGATTGTTATTATTTATTATTACCAGTGGACGATTTGAGGTGCCTCAGTGAGGGCGGCGATTCTATGTGCCGCGGGGCTTGTGGAAAGAACCCCCTATATCCTCAACCCTCGATGTTAATTTTCTTCAGTCAGATCCGCTCCACGAGCTTTGATCTGTGACTCTTTGTCTTACTGAAAGTTCACCAAAATTATCATCTCTCTTAGTACGTTTCGCATATTCGCTTGAGTTACACTATTGTGAGACTACTTTTCATGAAGGAAACTACTCACAAGGTTGCTGAAAACTATTCGACAACCCAAGACCGGTTTCGACCTTCTTGGGGCTCATCAGGTAGGCGCAGTTGCCGAGTTTCCGTCAACCTCATGATCTACTTGAAACCGAACTGGACTGTTTTCGAGAAATACACGTATTTGCAAATCAATTTGGTGTTCACGAGAGACTCAACTGAATCCCCCGTTTATGATATTCTACAACTGAATGTGCTGCACACAGGCCGCCTCATGTTTCAGTTGGAATGATATTCGAGATATCGCAGTATATTTTCATGAAGAGAAGTTTTGAGCAACCTTGCGAGTAGTTCCCACTCCTTCATAGTACACGAATCGAATGCGTAAAAGCAACGCAAAGATAATTGTACTTTTTGTCTGGTATTGAAGGTCGATCGGTTCGGAACGGCTGCGTCGTAGACCGCACATTCATGGCCCATTTATGCGCGGTTGGCGGATGATGGACCACGCTGACTGTATTCCGAGGAAGGGACGCCGTCAAATCCACAGGGCATTTGAGTGGTTCACCATCTAATGTCTCTGGTTTGAGTTACTGGATTGTCAGTTTGTTTTCGGTACCTTGTAATGACTCGCATATTCAGTTTTGCCTTAAATTTGCTTTCGTTTTATAAACGAAAAAGAAATACACTCATTTGCAAACTAATTTGGTTTTTCGAGAGACTCACCTGGAACCCAGCTGAATCCCTCCTTTTTGTGATGCTTCCAGGCAGCTGAATGTGCTGCACCAGGTCGCCTCATGTTTCAGCCGCTACGATACTCGAGATATCGTGATACACGTTCATTCGCAATGCACTACTCATGAGGTTGGTGAAAATTCGTCGACAGCCCATGACCCGTTTCGCCCTTTTTGAGGCTCATGAGGTAGGCGCAGTCCCCGAGACGCAAACGGCCCATTTTGACGATCTGGACATCCCAGAGTATGAAGCCTCTGTGTGACCGCCGTTGTACAGACTTGGCTGTGTAATGACAGTCATGAGGTACCCATATTCGTGCACCCAGGATGCGTCTTTTAATCGGTGTGGGCTCTCTGCCGATCTTTTGAGCAGAGTGTAGGTTTCATCTCTTCAGTTATCCTCGGTTGGCGTGATATTTATGAGTCACAAGCCAGGCATTGCTGATGGCCTTAGAAGTGTCCCTCCTAGTCATCCTCCGCTCTTATTCTCTTGGATCTACACCAGGCGCAAGGCGCCCGGTTGGTTTCACATGCGACTAAACCCAATATGCTAATAAAAATAACAATAATAGTTGAGCTGTGATGCTCTTTTGAGGCATGGGTACCATCCAAGCCGAAGAAAGCACTACCAGGCTACCCAAGCCTAGACAGGAACAGTCAAGATGCCGGGATTCTGTTCGAACCACGGACCTTCCGGTCAGTGAGCTGATTCGAACTCAGTCACCTACTGTGCGATGTGAGAGGCCAATCCAAAAACGAATGCCGTGCAATGCTGGGTCATCAACTCTAATCAATCGAACGGTAAGAGAAGCTGTAATTAGAGCTGAAATCCCCTCATGCTGTGAATGAAATGGATGCATGTGATGAATCTTCGTTGTTATCGCTCACCCCAACTTTGACTGTTTGTTGATCACAGCAATACCCAACCTAGAAGAGGCAGAAGCAGTTGTGTTGCGAGTCACCAAGGCAACAACATCAAGCATTCCAGATTTGAGCCGTCGTGATCGACCACTTTGTTTTGTGACTGTGTTCGATCGTTTACAAACGTTGTCCATTTGGCAGCACAGCGCAGTACCATGACTATAATCTGGGTGGAACGTCGTGAAGAGGCAGCACAAAGAAATGTGAAATCTGGAGGCCCCGAAAGATAAGACGAGGTCATCGAAATAACGTGCGGAACCACGAAAAGCCGCAGATTCGTCTTCTAGCCCGACGATTTGTGTGACATGCATTGAAAGATGGCATATTGTCCACATACACCTAGCACAGATGTCGATTCACTACCCTTTCATTTTCACATCATTTAAGTAATAATCGCTCAGCTGTAACACCCTTTCAGTGCCTAGCTGCCATGCCACTAAAAGGAAGCACGAGGGCTGGGATACTGCCAGGTTGCCCAAGCCTAGACAAGGGAAGTCGAGAGGCGGAGGTCGGGTTCGAACCACGGACCCTCTGGTCAGTAACTTCACGCTCCAACCACCTGAGCCGTCTCGCCCCTTTCACATCATTTGGGATGTTGAAAATTCATTCTCTAATTTTTTCCATCGCAGTAAAGTTCCTAGGTGAATCGTATTTTCTCCCGAAATCCGAAATACTATGTTGCGTCACAGCCATGCTACCAGAAGGAAGTAAGAGGTCCTAGATACTGCTGGATTTCCGAATCTGGACAGAAGCAAATGAAACACGGACCTCTCGACTGGCATCTGGGCCGCTAGGTGACCTGGGCCTAACAATGAAACACGGACCTCTCGACTGGCATCTAGGCCGCTAGGTGACCTGGGCCTAAGAGAGGGCGAGAAGGCCCAAGTAGTTAGAGCAGGAATTTACTGATCGGAAGGACTGTGGTTCGGAACCGACCTCTGCCTCTGGACTTCCCCTGTCTAGGCTTGGGCAACCGGGCAGTATCCCAGCCCTCGTGCTTCCTTCGGGTGGCATGGCAGCTAGGCGCCGAAAGGGTGCTACAGCCGACCGTTTTTTCTGGGTTTAAAAAACACCAGAAAATCAGGTAAACCATCGGTTGTATGGATCTCTTCAGGTCGCTGTTCGAGCTATGATCCAGACGTAGTCAATGTTTCAACGAAACATTGAAGGGGATGTCAGTGAAGAAGTACGGTTAGGAAATTAGTTGAAAACCATTCTAGTTCTACTGACAACCTGGGTTCAGGCTCATGCTTAGAAGTGGACAAAAGAGAATTCGGAAACTATGTCAAGGAAGTAGAATAACAGAAATACATGACCGACATACATTTGAATTGGCGCCCAAAAGCCGCAACACGAGTGACTGGTTCTGTTCAGGAGAAAGAACAATAGCCTACACGCAGCGCATCACACCGAAGACGATCGATGGGAGACAAGTAATTGCACCCAGTACATATCAGATTCACAAGAGCACTTCGTTTTTGCACCTCAATGAGATCAGTATGGTGACGAAAACGGGGTCTCTGTTGAAGAGTGCGTTCTAAAATCTGTTGAAAGAATCACTGACGAAAACGAAGCTTGGCTTCTGCAGCGTGAAGACATGGTGCGTGATAATCAGTTCCTTTCGATCGATCGGCTATAAAGCATGCATCGGCTGCTAAAGTTGTCATCGTCGGGAAAATGGGAGGTGAAGTAGAGTAAAACCAGTCAGTGGATGGGATGACTAAATTAGCTAACTGATATGCGACGAACCGGAAAATTGGCATTGCACGCGATAGCTTTGAAGCAGGAGCGCAAACCTCTGCATGATTAAGCCACGTGCCATCAACCGGGTCGGACCCCGGGGCCCTATCCAGGAAGTCTTTAATAGTCAACCCAAATGCATTTGCTTTCATAATTTGTTCTCAGGTCACGGATATTATGGCTCACGTTCAGCACCATTCAGCAAAGGGATGGGCCTGGTTGGTGCCTAGTTGTCCTGTCACCCAAAGGAAGTACGAGGGATGGGATACTGCCAGGTTGTCGAAGCCTAGACAGGGAATTCGGGAGGCAGAGGTGGGTTCGAACCACGGACCTGCCGGTCAGTGAACTCGGGCCACCTTGCTCCTATGCATACAACACAAGACCTGGCCCGAAACGGTAAGATTTGACGAAGATCGATAGATATCTGATGAGATGGTGTGTGGAATTCATCGAAGTAGTTTGCGATAAAACGCGTTTTGAATTTTGGGTAAAATACAATGCCTGACCTCCTTCATTCGTAGGATCGAACAACAACAAACTTTTCGAGGCTTGCTGAAATCAATCGATAAATACTTAACATACCGTTCTTCGACAGAGACCTCACGTGTTATTCGCGAATTAATGAAACACGGTTTTGTGCTCGAGTGGTGTTCTGCTCACCAAATAATTGTAGCTGCGCACTAATTAGGTTTTCGATTGTGCAGTATGAATAATTCGGGATAGGGAGAGGGGCGAGTGATCTCAGTCTGTGGACTGAACTGTTTGCATATAACTGGTGTAAGATATCATCAGACTAGCGCTCCGCACCGCCATTTCGGTATCAATCAGAAAGGTGAGGGCAAATTTACGTAGACGTTTCAGGCTTCGCTCAAACCATGTGCCTAATAGATGTTTTGTATACCAAAAGTGGCACCATGAGGGTAAAATTTCGGGTGAGTAAAGATGCTCTAAGGAGTACGAGTAGCGTTCGTTTGTGGAATATTC